TTAACGTTTTTTTCTGAACTTATGAAGAAAAGATAATCTGACTAGCTTTGTGTCGAGAGCGATTCTTGCAGCCATAACCGTTGCGAAATGCTACGGCACATATGGTGTGGAGAGCGCATTGACCTGCACTTACACATATTCCGCAGTGAAGGCCCTAGAGCAATCCCCAAAGATTTCACAACATGGAAACCAAAATGCGCAAATACTTTTCCGACAACCTAATATGTATTTAGGCATAAGCTCATTCCGCGGTCGAATCATTTCGTCAAATGTGACGATCATCTTTTCATCAATACCATTTGCATATTGCGTCCTTATATGACTAAAGAATTTCTTGAATTTCCCTTCTATTTTGATTTCGAGAAGACACTGAGCAAATTTCGGGCACATTCAGCGGTTGTTCCATTTGCTTGTAAACCGAGGGCAATTCACCTGAATCACGTCTTTTCGTATGTCTCCGCCTACATTGAGATTGCCTTATACAGCCTTGTATGATCTGTATGACTCATCGTTCCGTCCCCCTTTCGCTTCGCTCCTAATTAATTCACTGCTTTTAACTCTAGGCCACCTGATGTCAACGTGGCGGGCAGCAGTCGGTGTGAAACCACCGATAGCACCGAAACCGGTCGAGGAAGATGAGTGGGAGACCGATCCTGATTTCATTGTGCGTTACTCAACCGTTTGATATCAGTTCAGCTTTTTTAAGAACAAATCATTCAGAATGACATCAGCGAAAAAGCAAGCCGTTGGGGTGCGAAGACTGTTGAAGGTTCAGGACATCAGGAGCACTTCAATATGGATAAGTTTCGAAAAGAGGCTCTGGAAGCAGACAAAATACAGCAGGTTAGGGCCTTTTTCCTGGTAGTAGATTTATCGAGTTTGATTTCACACTCCCGCAGGAGAAGAAACTCGAGCAGATGCCCAAACCAAGTGAAGGATATGGAGGAAAGTTTGGAGTAATGACTGATCGAATGGACAAAGTGGGTAGAAGCTACATAACCATTTCTGATGTGGCTTGCTTGATGCAATTTTCGATTGCTATTTATTTTTAGGCAGCTGTTTCATACGATTATAAAGGAAAGGTGGATCCACACGCATCACAAAAGGACTATTCGATAGGATTTGGTGGAAAGTACGGCGTGCAAACGGACCGCAAAGACAAATCTGCAGCCGGCTGGGATGAGAAGGTCGACTTATCGAAGCATGAGAGTCAAAAAGGTAATTTTTCTTACATGGTTTTAGGTCCCTTCATTTTTTGTATGGTATTGAATTTTGACAAACGGTAATATCTTCCTACTCATTGCATGATCCTTGTTTGTCGCAATTCTTTCTTCCCCAAATTATTTGCCTGATATTTTTTCGTTGTTAAATACGAGTAATATCAATCTGGATGGTAATTCTATCTTAGTACGGTCTTGCCCCTCAACAAGAGTTCATCGACGTGCTGTTGGCAAGGATGTGAACCGTTCGATCAGAGCGCGAATTTTCCGGAAGGGTATGGAGTCCCTCAGGAGAGGCTCGCTGCTTGGTGGAAATTTCACCCGTCAAGCATGGAGTATTTTCCTCCTCACCAAACGTCAGTACACCCGTGCCGAGAAAGCCCCATCCGAATATGTAAAATCAATTTTTCGCCCATATTCGATTACGTCTCGTTTCTTCTGGTGTTTGATAATCAGAACCAGTCTGTCCAGACGGGTAGAATTCCAGGTCATGGTAATCCCGTTAACTGAAATAGTTCTACCGTCCAAAAAAAAGAAAAAAAAATGACTGACAAGGTTGGCGATTTATGGACAAAATTCAGTCCCGGACGGGACTCGAACCAAACCGGGGACCATGCTTTTATCCCTTACTCTACCGAGACCCCGCTTACCCCTTTCCTTCTTAATGGCTTATAAAAGATGACTGTACCAGATTAACAAGGCATCGGTATTCCTAAAGAAAGATCTCTGTTTTCAAGATAACGAGCAAGGCGAAATCTCATTTTGGGCTGGTGTATTCCCTAACTAACAGCGAGGATGTGTGTACTTTAACAAAACCAACTTTTCTCGTCACTCTCCTCACCAGTCTTTAAAGTGTGTAGTATGAATCTACGCTTGAAGGGATCATTATTTTTTCGAGATCGTTTTTCAAAACAGTTTCTCCACATTTTTCCGCATTTTCAAATAAAAAATGCTGGATTCGTGGCGCATATTAAGGGACTTGATGAAATCCTCATACTTGAATGAGTTTTTTTGCAACTCGAAAAACCCTTGGAGCACTCTACAACGGAATTCGGACCCACCGTGATTTCCAGAGACTAACAATTGTTCAATCGAGTGTTTTCCTTTTCTGAAAAAGAACTGAACTGAACTGGTACTAACTGATTTATCCAGAGGAATAGATGGCACCTTTGTGTCGCAGTTCTCACTACAATCGTGCTAACTGCACTATAAGCTTGAAGCTTCTGAATGGCCTAACTACTAGCTCTTATTTTTAACGGGTTCAAAAGGTAGTAAGTAAGGTAAGGTACAGGTAGGCGGATGATAATCTTCGAAGAACAACTGCTTCTCGAGATTAAGTAGATTCTTAATGATAGTCTTCATTAAGACGCATCTGCTGGATACGGAGGAAAGTTCGGTGTCCAAGTTGATCGCAAGGATAAATCAGCAGCAGGATGGGATGAAAAAGTAGTACTATCCAAACATGAGAGCCAGAAAGGTTGGCTTATAGCTGATCCTTCTTTTCTCTTGTTTTCCTCACTTCTCAATTTTATCTATTCTGCTGTTCGAGGGAAATGTATGCTCATTGCAGTAATACCGCAGATAACTTACTCGTCCTTGATGACGTGCGCTTAAGCATCGAAAGTTCCTTTGACTTGCTGCGTAATTGTGAGCAATTTTATACTTATCCCAGAGTATGGCCCCTAATTCTCACAATAGTCCACCGTGGGCTGTTTTCGTTACTGACGTAGGTAGTTGATTCCTTTTTCCGTGGCACTTCCTCTGCGTTGTATATGGCGAGCTGTAATGTTTTGTCAATTTTAGATGGTATACAGTCCATTCCAGACGCGGCGACTGGTTACGGTGGCCGATTTGGTGTACAGACGGACAGAAAAGACAAATCGGCGGCAGGCTGGGATGAAAAGAACGAACTGACGAAACACGAAAGCCAAATGGGTATGTTTTTGCTATGGCACGATGTAAAGGACGTTGAGGGTGGTCGCTGTGGCTACTCTGAGGAACGGAATAATTCTTCATCTCCATGGTAGCTATTCGGGTAACTGAGATCCAGGTAAAAGGTAAGATTTGCTGTTAAATGGTTGAGGAAACTGGTTGGACGAAATGAAGAGAAACACAAAAGGCTAGTTAAAGGCAAAGTTCACGATCAGTTCAAAAATGGGGTATGACATGTCCCCTTAAGATAAATTTGTGTCCCCCTCGTATACCATATGTGGCGATGACAGGTCAGAAAATGACTTACATAGGGTGTTATAAAGGCTCAAAGATTCTCTCGTATGTATCCTCGGACGAGTTTCACGGCACTTTAAACGCTGTTCATTCACAAAGGAACCCATGTAGGAAGTTCAAACAACTTGTAATGATTCATAGCGACAGTGAAAGGAAATTTTAGACAGTTTTTGCTTGATGTGGTCAGCGCAATCGCAGCAACTGAAATCTCGTCCAAATACCTCTTCCATATCATTTCCGTGATGTTAATCTCGTACAACCTTTATTTTCACTACTTTTGAAGAGCCTTATTTCTCACAAAATCAGCGAGATTACTCGCTTCCTTCATCACCGATGAACTATTTCCAACCTATACTTCCGTTTTTCGACTGAAAAGGGGCACCTCGAAATAATCCTGGTCTGTGCCTTTTCCACGTCGAAAGGTGGAGCAATAGACGCGGGACGGGAGGACTTCGTTCGGAAGACAACGCTTACCCCCGAACAGGGTCACGTCTGTTGTCTATGAAAGAAGGAAAAATAGCACCGGTATAAGGAGATGATCAAGTTTGAAATAGTCGTTTTCAGACTACAAAAAAGGATTCGGAGGCAAATTTGGTGTTCAAAAAGATCGTCAGGATGCTTCGGCCGTGGGTTGGGACACAAAAGAGCAAGTTCCCAAACATGCTAGTCAAACTGGTCTGTTTCTAATCATTTCCAAGGAACGAGATTGAATTAATGCTAAGCTTTTTCAGATTACAAGCAAGGGTTCGGCGGCAAGTTTGGCGTGCAAACTGATAGACAGGATAAAGCTGCTGTTGGTTACGATGTTCATGATCACCTCGAAAAGCATGAAAGCCAGACTGGTAATGGCCCTTGAATCACTTTTTTTACGAATTCCCTTGAATTTTCCCTTTACAGATTATAAGAAAGGATTTGGAGGTCGATTTGGTGTTCAGACTGACAGGCAAGATCGCAGTGCCGCAGGGTTTGAGTACCACGAGCAGCTGGCCAAGCACGAAAGTCAGGTTATCAACAAAGGTCCGTTCCTTCGAGCTTACGGAGATGTGTGAGTTTCAGATTGTAGGCGACTGTTGCAGGTGAAAATGAATGACCGTGAAAGCTAAACCAATGGTCCTAAACGGTTTTCCAGCTTTTCCAGCTTTCCCATGCTTGCACAGTGCTTCAGCGTAAGCCCGGGGTTGTAGGAGGCTGCAACCATGCACAATTTTATTGGGCATGGACGTGTCAGCGTGGGGTGGGAGAAGATTTAGCTGTCCAACTACTAGAAGGCATCAGAAAGCAAGGAGTCCTTACTCACAAAGTCAGAACAGAAATGTAGGGTAGGGTAGGAGAGAGGGAGCGGAGGGTGGGGAATGTGGTCATCCACCTCTGAAAATGTCTTTTCCCCATCAGACTGCTTGATTCAAAATTCGAATCACCAAAACTGAACTTAATAAACGATGCTCTTCTCATTGGAACTGTCGAATGTGTGATTGCATTGTGCAAAAGAATGAAGAGTTAAGAGATAGCAATCAAGAAGAAAGGAGATTAACAGACATTCACTTTAGCATTTTTAGGTATTGACAAATCAAACAATCAAACGCGAGGAGATGACGAAAAACCATCAGCTCCCACCAGTACTCGAGAGAAAGTACAGATCCCCGAGAAGGCTGCCCGAGCCTCAGATTTACGCGCTCGATTCGAAAAGCTGGCAACAGCTGACGTGAGTAATATTAATGTTACATTTATTGAATGTTGGTTACATTTACAAAGGAATTGTATTGAGTGCACTACGTTCTGGAATGGATGGTATAGGTAGAAGGAAGAAATTGTTAAAGTTTTCCTGCCTCTCTAGAAGAACTTTATTGGGTTCGAAATTTTTTTCTGTGAACACTAGAGGGAGGGTCATACAAGAGAGCACAATTCATAAAGGAAAAGTCCGAGATCGCAATGTGTCCAGGAAGAAGTTTCTGTAAGCATCCTGGAAAAGCCTAGATCACGACATCCGCGACTGCTGCCTGAATAGTAAAATCATCTTTAAGACTCTGAATCAGAATTGGCCAATGTAGCAACAAGGCAGGCATGTCCTCTCTATGAAACCATGAGAAATCAGGGAGTTTGACTCGATCTAAAAATACAGGGTGACCCACATGAAGTGTGAGGGCAATAAAAAACTCAACTTATGGGCTTCTGGGCTGGAGGAAGCGGTGATCGCTTGGGTGGAAAGGAACGCCATGAGCGTCAACTGAACCTTCCACAGGGTTGGGCACCAGCCCACAGCACAAATGAGATGCTGCAATGTTGTGAAACCACGC